TAGATATTAATAATCTATATAATACTAATTATAGAATAGTTATAGCTTTTTAGCCCGATTAAGTATTATAAAGATTGAGTTCTATTATATTTAGATATCCTAAATAGAGACTAGATAAAGCTTTTTAATTTATAGAGCTATAAATACCTCCTAGTATTATAGGCTTATATTAATAAAGACTATAAGATCTTGGATCTTAAACTCTCTTATTAGAATAAACTTAGAAAATTTAGGGAGATAGGGAACTTATTTTTTTTAAAATATCTATAATTTACTAAGTTAAGATAGATTATTTAGTCTAAAATAAATAGATTTATTTATTAGACTACTCTAGTTTAATTTTTTTATTAGGTAATATAACTTTTAGCTTTCTAAGAAGCTTATTTAAGCTTAACTAGATTATATATATAATATATAGAACTTAGAAGATTAAAGTATCTAGTTAGTTTTATAATTAGATAGTTTCTTAGATATTTATTATTAAAATATTATTATTAATTATATTATCTATTATTATAGATAATATATAATTAGTAATTGTATAATTAGTTAGAAGCTAAATAATAGTTTTATTTAGATTTTTATTAATATAAGATCTATAAAAATATTTAAATCTAAGAAGAACTTTATAGTAATTCTAATCCTAATTAAAGAAATAATCTATAATAGCTATAAAAACTTACTAAAATAGCGATATCTAGTAATTAAGTACTAGTAAAAAATAATTCCTATTTAGAAGCTTTCTAAGAATCTCTTTCTAGTTACTTTTAACTATAGAATTAAAATAATATTATATATTTTATATAGATAGTATATCGATTTTATTTTAGGCTTACTAAATAACCTTTACTAGATCCTTAAATTAGGTATATTTAATAATTCGGAAGGGTAGGTAAGTAATAAAGATAAAGTCTAGTATTATTTTTACTAGATACTCCTAGAAGAAGGATTAGCTTTTTAGGATAGTTAGTTTTAGGATAGTTATTAAGATTAGTAAGAGAGATCTTAAGAGTCTAGATAATAGAGTAATATACTATCTATTTTAGTAGCTAATTAATCCTCTAGGTAACTAGCTTCTAAGTATAGGTACCTACCTTAATATATATATTTATTAGTAATAACCTAGTATAGCGATATCTTAGATAAATAAAAGTATAGAGATATAATTAGACCTCGCTAAAGACCACCAAGACCTACTCTTAGCAGTCTGAATATAGAGCTCTAATAACCGCTAAGATATTTTTCTAAGTATAAATATACATAGAGTACCCTAATTAGGAAATTATTTACTTATAAATCAGTATTTATGCATTATTATACATCTTGGCGGTCCCGGTCCTAAGCTTTAGGACTAAGACCGCACTTTAGCGAGGTCTAGATATAATATATATATAATCTTTAGCTTACTAGTTTTCTTATATATAACCTAATTAAAGTTATCTTAAATACTTAATATCTTTTTACTATCCTAACAGATAGAGTCTTATATATTAGGTATTAATCTAGATACTATAGTTAGCTACTATTTTATAAAATACTTATAAGATTTATCTATCTCGCTACTAGGCTTAGAGGAATAGAGGACCTAGTATTACTAAAAAAAAGGGACTAATATATATAAGCGAGAGAGGTATAATTAGAGATAAAACTTAGGATATAGATATTAATAGAGTATAGCTACTAATAAGCTTAGAGATATTATCTAAATAAAATAGGTCGGGATTTAGACCTAGATTTAAATTAGCGTAGAAGGAGTAATAGGACTAAGATACCTATAAATAAGATATATTATACTTAATTACTAGTTACCTAGAAATAAGCTATAAGAGAAAGAGAGAGAGAAATATATATATAGGAATAGCTAAAAATATTAAGGGTATAGTAAATAAGCTATAACTCGCGAGTTATAGATATATTTTCGATATATCTCTTACTTTTAATAGTAATAATTAGCTATTACTAATTACTAGTATAGATATTTAAGGATAATTATAGATATTTTATAGATATCTGTATAGATATCTATAGATATCCTTAACTTTATTACTATATTTATACTATCTACTATCTATAATATTAGAATTTCTAACTAATAATTTTTAGAAAATAGATTTAAAAACTTAATATATTTAAAAAAATAGGCTTAGATTATTAATTTTAAGCTAGACTAGTTAGATTTAACTAGGAAATAGCGAGTTTAGTTATAGATACTTAGTTTAGATAAAAAATCCTATACTACTACCTTAAGTAAATATATATTTCTATAGTAAAGTAAAATAGAATAATAAAAAATTATATATATCCCCTAATATATATTAAAAATAAGATTAATACTATAAGTAATAATAAAATTAGGGTTTTATTAGTTAATATAAACCTATTTCTTAATATTTTATTAGGGAATAGGATAAATAAGGCTAGTAATATAGTTAGGACTAAACCTATAGATCTTTTATTCTAAAAAATAAATTAATAAGCTATATAAGAGATATATAACTACCCCTAAATAGATAATTAAGCGAGAGTTATACTAGTACAGATATCCTTAATATCCTTATAGATATCTATAGATATCTATAGATATCCTTATTAAGGATATAGTATAGAAGTAATATCTATTATCCTTAATTTACGGATATAGTATTAAACCTAATATCTAATAGAGAGGATATACCATAGTCTAATAGACCTATTAGAGCTAGCTAGAGCTAATAGACTAAGTCCTCTCTATTTAGGAGGCTAGGGCCGGCGAAGTATAATTTTAGCCTTTTAAAAGAGATCTATAGATAGGATAGTATTAATATTCCCTAATTATATACTAAGTCTATCTATAGAGTATTTCTTATAGTAATTAGTTAAGATTAAGATTTAAGGTAAGGGTAAAGATAATTAGAAAGGTATAATATAATAGAGTAATAAATAGTAAAACTAGCTTTATATTTAATACTTCCGAAAATAGAGGGGCTATATAAAAAATAATAAAAATATACTAATATATGTATACCCTAGTAGGCCTTAGTAATTTAAATATAAATATTACTTAGAGTAATATAGGGAATATAAAAGAGTAAATTAGTTAAATATTAAATATAGAGAACTAACTAATTAAAATATATATAGATCCTATATAAAAAGATAGTAGAATTACTATAGTTTAAGAGTAATATAGACTCTATAATAGATATAGAATATAAGAGAAAAAGATAGTATTTTAATAAAAAGTACTAGAAAGTTTAGAATTAGATTAGGGAGGATTATATTTAAAAGAAATAAAAATTAACTATATAAGACTAGAGTAACTAGAAATAAAGTATATTAAGATAGATAAATAAATAGTAATAGTTTAAAAAGAACTATAATTAAAGGCCTATCTATATATACTAAAAAAATAAGGGAGGGAAAAGAGGAGAAAAAGAATTAAGCCTAAAAGTAGGTTTAAATATAGGGTAGTAAAAAATAGAATTATATAGAAACTACTAACTATTAATAGACTAATTTTATTATAGGAAATATTATAGGATTTTATTAGTAATTAACTAAGATATAGTAAAAAGATTAAAATAGCTACTCTATATAAAATAGTAGTTATATTAATATTAAAATTAGGCTAGATATAAGAAAGATACTAATAAAATATATATATTAAACTAAAGTATAGATAGGTAATTAATTAGTAGGTAGAAAATAGAATATCTATAGATAGGAATTTAATAAAATATAGGAGTAGTCTATTATAGTAACTAAAGTAGGCTATCTATAGCTCCTACCTTATTAAAAGTAAGGAAAAAGGCCTCCGGCGGATAAAAAGGCAGAAAGGCTAATTAGTACTAGTATATAATAGTATATAAATATTAATAAATAGATCTAAAGTAAGGGATATATAGTTACTTAGGGGCCTTTTTTACTATACTTTACTATATTCCTATATCTATATAGATATAGATAGTGACTATTATTATAAAATAAACCCTTATAATTTTATAATTCTATATATATACATTAAAATACCTACTAACCCTCTAAAGCCTCCTAAAATAGCTACTAACCCTCTAAAGCCCCTAAAATAAATATCTACTATATTTTAATAGCTCTACTATCTCTTAGATATAGCTAGGGAACTTATTATAGAGTTATAAAGGGACTTCTCTAGAGTACTAGTAGAGTAAATATCTAAAGATTTATTAGTCTTATAATAGAATAATAGATATATACTAACTAAAAGGAAATATAGGAGAGATAGATAATATAAAAAGAATTATATAGAGGAGTAATCGGAAGATAGACTAGAGAATAGAGTAAAAGATAGAGTATAGGATAGAGTAGAGAGTGGAGTATAGGGTAGAGTAAAGGCTAAAACAGAGAATAGAGTAAATAAAGTATAAAAAATAGAGCAAAAGATAGTAGATAAAATATAAAAAGTAGATTATACAGAGTAGAATTTAATAGGGTATAGGAGTAGTTTATTATAGTCTCCGGAGTAGACTAACTATAGCCGCTAGCTAATTAGGAAAAGGGAAAAGGGCGTACTTAGATAGAGTAAAAAGATAAAATAGGTACTATATATAAAGTAATAGTTATATTAATAGGAAAGTTAGGTAGGTTATAATACTAATTTAAAATAACTATATAGGGTAAAATCAAGTATAGGAAGGCACCTTATCAGTAGGTAGATAATATAATAATTATAGATAGGGATTTAATAGGGTACGGGAATAGTCTATTCCGGCTACCTAAGTAGGCTACCTATATATACTAGGCAATCAGAAGAAGGGAAAAGGGCCTCCGGTAGGCAAGAAGGCCCAAGGGCTAATCAGAGGCCGCAGAGCGGCGGAAAATGGCACACTTTACAAGATATATATATGATAGATAGCGAGAATCTAAAAGGTTAAAAGCTATTATAAAGAATTGATGGGGTAAAGAGAGTAGGGCAGAGAGACCAATAAGAAATAGGGAGGATTGAGTATGAGAGGAGTGAATATATATATGATGCTTCACAACGCTCATGAAAAGCACTTTCCAACCACCTTCTCCACACTCTGCAGACCTGTGGTGACGCGATCTCCGAACTTGGCAATGTCTGTCTCCTTCATTGTGCGACGCAAACTGGCCGGTTTCGCGACCTCGAGGTCATCCGCCAAGGATCCAGCAACCAAGACAATGTTCATGATGTCTAAAGCCACGTTGCTGGGATCCTGGACAATATCAGCGACAGCCATGCCGGTATTGCCCGCCGTACCGGCAATTCGAAGTACGGTAGCCATCTCGGCTAGACCATCGATCGGGCCTAGCACCTCACCAGCGACGGGAATCAAGAACAGAATTCCGGCCAAAAACCCGCCGATGATTTCCTCTTCTTTTGCTTTCTTTTCCTCCGCAGTGATATTCGCTGCAATAGTCTCCACCGTGGCCATTTCCTCCACCGCAGAGACAATTATCAGGACAGGCATCGAGACAGCGTCAATGATATCCATGCCATCACCGACGAAACTGTCGGTCGACATCTGGAACAAGATGCTTGAGACCTGGTCTGGCAAGCTTCCAGATCGATCTAGACCCTTTTGAGCGGTGTCTTTGGGGTTGGCCACGTCGGCCTTACCGTAGCTTGCAATTGGGTGGGGGAAGTTGAAGTCGTAGCCCTGCGTCCAGCAGACATCATTGGCGGCCGCATCGCTCCCACAACCACCACCATATGGACCGGTCCGATCGTAGACCTGTTCAAAGCTAACATAGCTCTCATTGAAGCCCGTCGTCGTGAAGAGATCGGCCCAAAATTGGTTCGCCTAGGATTCGACCAAGCTCTAGGTCACACTTTGCATGGTATGATCGACGAGAAGACGTTTGGAGTAATCGGGTAGACAAGGCTCATCCACATTCGCGTTCTTGATGTTCGGCTCTTTCATCCCAAAAGTACCATCGATCTTGCAGCCAACGGTGTCACAAGTCGTGTAGCAAACATCGTCTGTCTAGCATATATCACAGTCGTTATATAAACTATTGTTATTGCAAGTGTTACAGCAAATAGTAGGCTCGTCCACTTTGCAAGTAAAATACTGTGTTCTATTCTGATTTATGAAGTCAGCGATGTAGGGACCGGCGTTTGAAACGACACTGTCGGCAAATATCTTGAACTTGTCGTTATATCCACCGTTCATCAAGTCCGTGTAGTTCTGCATTGCGGCAGTAAGGGTATCAGACAAAGTTTGCAAAATGTATTGTATAGTATAGTGGTCAGGAATCGTACCGGCGGTATTACCTAGGTCATCAATGCTGCTAAAGGTTGCTGTGCAAGGGGCCAGTTTAGGCATAGGGGGCTCATCCCACTCAGTGGTAGCATTATAGTTACCGCTGCCATCGAATGCAATCAAATCGACAGCCCAATCAACAGTACTACCAAAGTTCAGGCTCTTGTAGTAGCTAGTACGACTTGCCAAAGTGTCGTCATCCATGAACGCAGCCCATATATCGTTCTATACGATAACGTTGGAATCTGAGCTTTGGTCGTAGTATGTTGTATTCTGCTCCTCAAGAGCGAGCATCTTATAGATCTCAGCATTTGCAATCATTCCCGCAACCCGGGTACAGCGTCCCTCGTCAGCAGTGGATGTAGTATTAGTTCCTGTGAATTGACAGTCGGGCCTAGCCTAGTGCATGCCGGATCTGCCATCCCAAAAGAGCGGCCGTAGCTAGGGACGCCAACCACGATGTCAGTTGAAGCTACGCCGGCCTTGGTAACTTTGAAACATCAGTACCTACTCAGGAATCTTATACAGACATAGAATCGTCCAAGGGGGGGTGACTTACTCATCACCAGCGCATATTCAGTTTCCGTCAGATTAACTAGAGGTGAATTTGTTAGCTTCAGAGGACGTGATCATAGTTACTAATGCAGGGGAGTAAGTCTTACTGTAACTTCGAAGACAGTTACCATTAGGACATCCTTCCTAAGCCCACGCGTTGCCGTAGTCCCATTGGCCTAAAACTTAGAGTCAATATCATATCGCACAATCAACCACTTATCTTGCAGAATAAACCAACCGTATAAATCATACGTCATATAGACAACGTAGTTCGTATATATCGTCATATTCTTGATCGGGAATGATCGTAAGTACCAGTAAGAAGCCGGCGCCGCGATTGAAATTGACTTGGTGTAGGGGAACCCGTCCCTCAGCGTCTTCAGGAAACTCAAGTAATTAGGGCCGTCGCTCGCAAGACCAGCAGGGATCCCAGGGATATCAGGGGCCTGTGACGAAACGAATTAGCTTATAGCTAACAATGCAGCTGAAGCAGTGACGTACCCCGGGGTACTCCCAGTCAAAATCAACTCCATCGAGTCCGTTGGCCTCAACAAAGTCGAAGATATTTTGCACAAATGTGGGTGCATTTACCGGTTCCATCGCCTGACGCAGTTTGTCGTATGTTGCAGGATCAGTCGAAAAGCCCCAGCCACCAAATGACAGAATCTTGTTCACTTGCAGCATACTCTTGAAGCTGTCCCATTGGTTGTAGGTGTCATTGATAATCACGCTAAAGTCGTCGCCGATGCTCGTAAATGCCCAGTGGATATAGGAATATTCAGTAACATCGATATCGCCAATGCGCATATTCAGACAATTCCGATCAAAGTTCCACGACTCATAGTAGCCAATCTTATAGGGCGACCCGCTGCTGTAAGGATTGCTTATAATGTCGGTGCCACAGTTAGAAATACAGCCATTGTGCCCTATGGGAGCCGTTCTAGGATTGCCTGTAGGGCCAGTGACATTCGCACAATACTCGGCAGTGATTCCACACTGACCCCAAATATTGCAGCATGCATTCAGCGGGCATGGATTCAGATCTGCCAATTCCGTTCCGTTGGTTAGCTTCTCAGTTCCTGGGACAGTTAGGCCACACACTGAATTAGAGACCGGGGCGGGCAGTAGCGGATCACCTACACTCAAACAAATTTGCTGACCAGCTTGGAGATCGTTACATCCAAACCATCCCCAGGTCGTGCCATCATTGAAATTACTGATGTCGGTGGCCGTCAATCCGTTGGCAGCAGCAATAGTAGAACACAAGTCTACGCCTGTGACTTGATAGGTGTAGCAGGAACCATCCGCATTAGGCTTAGGCTTGACATCTGGAAGAGTGCCGGCTGAACAGCATACAAGCTGGCCAGCTTGCAATGTGTTACAAAAGTTCGGGGCATTGTTATAGGTAGAGAGATCAGCTGTCGAGATGCCACACCGTTGTGCCAGAGACCAACAGCCGTCGCCTACAAAAACACTCTCAGTAGTGCAGTCACCTCGCTTAGAAATATAGGAATTAGTAGTCGTCTTGTTCATGCTGTTGCTGACAGATGTTCCCAAAGGCGTCTCATAAATAGGAATAGCATCTAGCTGACTTAATAATCCAGTGCTGCCTGCACATGTTCCATTGTTCCATAAGGAAACAGCTTTCTGTACTGTAGCGAGATCACCAGAAGCGTCAATTGCCAAGCCAAGGACATAGGCAGCGTTTGGAGTGTTTCCGCAGCGTTCCACAATCATGCTCTGAGAGCCTTGATCACCAGAGATATGAGCTTGCAGGCTTTTGAAGAGAGAAGGAACGCTTCTGGCGTCATCAATGGCTGAGCCGACATAGAGACCAACGGCTACTCTATTGTAATAACCGAAGAGACTCGTTGTGTTGCACGATGAGTCTTGCACCACCTGGGTTTGAAACGCTTGTAGAATGGTCTGGATGTCATCCGTGGCTGCAAAATCAGAGGTTGAATCCACTGCCATTGAGAGACTTGCGGACTGCTCTTTGCCCACCTTGCACGAATTTGCACTTTGCCTGCGGTGAAAGCGCTGGTGCAAGATATAATGATGTCTAGGGGCATAGGTCCGCGCAAACAAAGCAGTACCCGCAGAGTTGTGAAGGCTGCTCATGTTGCTTGCAGTGCAGGTAAAAATCTTTGTTGCTCTCTGCACAAGATCAAGGGCTGGATACAACGAGAAATCCAATAGCATAGGCTGCTGGCAAACCTAGACACGGTTTACCGATGTATATAGAGTCCAATTATGAGATAGGCACTCACATAGTACCGGGCAGGGATGCAAAGCGGAGTCGAAAGCGTCAACCGGGGCAGCAATAAACATCAGCAGCGCCCAGCCAACGGCAACGGCTAGAACACTTCTATCTGGCCACATCTTACTGCGCAGTAGGAAAGTAAAAAAAAAGAAAAAAAGGGAGAAGATATCAAAAGAGAGAGAAAATGGAAATAGCCCCTTGGGCTGGGATAAAGAGTGTAATGGTAGGAGACGGCCAGGGCAATTGGCCCAGCTGGAAAAAAAGGGAAACAGAAAAAGGAGCGATAGTTCTCTAGGAAAGAGCATACACAGTTCGATCTCTGACGAGCCAGGGGAGCAATGGTCAGGTTTAAAGGACCCTCTACGGAGGTCGGACAATGATCTCCTATTTCATACTTTGTGAGAAACGGACACTCCTAATACCGACAAAACTTTGAAACTTTGTGTCTAGACCACTCTAGGAGCGTCGCTTAAAGGTTTGTTATTGCTAGCGCTCTATGGAGTCCATGAAAACTGGGTATTTCTCTGGGTCTGAGTGTGTAGTACTCATACGGTGATGCGTTAGCAGCTATTCTAGTAGGGTAATACTGAAGCGGCGTAGGAAGAACGTAGGTCCTACTCTCGACCCTGCATTAGAAATGCCACTTTTTCGGCCTCCAGTCCCGCTAGCGCTCCGAGACTTCCTAGTGCACATTTGTGAATAGACTTCCAGATTCCTTCAGCAGAGAGACCAGCTCCAACACCGGAGCCAAGGAGTCCAGCAGCACCTAGACCTGAGCCTGAGGAGATAAGCATGTATAGAATCGGCGCGGAAGAAGAGCTTCATCCGAGCATTGCGAAAATCGAGCAGTTGTGATGGTTTCTGTTCGAAGCTATTCCGGGCGATATAACTATATAGACACTTAAATGTCTAGCGCGCGCGACGTCACGGACCCGGCCTTTGTATAGTAATCGTGAGTGACTGCTGAGCCAAAGTATGTAGGACCGAGTCTACAAGTAACGAGATGGTTTACTCCAGTCAGCCCCTTAATCCTCGTTAGGTCTCGATCCTTCTATTAGCGCCGCGCTAGGGGAGAGCCAAGGCTTAACATAGGAAACAAGCCGAGACACGGTCCGATTCTTATGCTAGAAAATAGATGCCAAGAAATAAATGTGGGCCTGATATGGTCATCTGCAGGCCCGCTAATATCCGGTAATCTTGAGATTTACCTAAACGTATCGATACGCTGGCGGGAATGAGCCCGTCCGCGGTCTTAGTTTGTTGGCCCAGTCGAAGAGACCATTCTCTTATCCGATGGGGAGCAGGAGTCTTTCTATGAGGTTATTATGATTATGGCCCCTGTGCGTGTGGACCCAAGGGTCTAAGAAATTCCGATCATTTTTTCATTCCGTGAAGGCTTTGAGTTCGCCTTGAAGTCCAACTTGTGGCCACTATTTTCTCGGAGCTTGCGTTTATTATCCCAAACCCCCTATCGACACCATGAAGGGATTTATCATCCGTCTCGTTGTGTTATTTGGCTTTTTCATCAGCCCTATTGCTGCCTGGGACGGTCGAGCTGCTGGGGAACAGTAAGTGCATGCGTGTGTGTCTGTCACTCCCCATTGATGGGCAATTACTCTGGGAGATAACTGAATCGTGTTAGGATGTCCTACTGGTACATGTACGTACTTGAAGGTGCACTCAACCGCGACGCAACCACTCGAACCGTTGCGCCTGGATGTGCGGGATAGGCTTTAGCTGCCGCCGATATATCCTTGTTGGATCCTACGGATTCGTCAAAATGCTCCCTGAAAGGCTTCTTAAAGTACATCTGGGCACCTCGCTTTACCCTAGACGCCAATGGAAACACCGTATATATGAGTGGCGACAGAACTAAGTTCTTGAATCCAGACGGCTCTCCCATGACACGTGATGATGTCCTTGCAAATGAACGGCCCAACTTTTCGGTGGACCCGATCAAAGGCAACCCGCCCTGGCGTTCTGCCACCTTGACGCAAGTCTACGATGTGATCTACCGGAGCGGGTACGTCGACGGCTCGGATCCTAACCGACTTTTGCCAGCAGCAGGCGGAGACTACTGGGCGGCACGTTCTCAAGTCACTGCAACTCTTCCTGCTATCGAGGCACAGTATCCCAAGGACTCCACCCAGCCTAAGGCTTACCAGCAGATGCGCCAGCTCATTGATAAGACCATTGCAGCGAACAAAGCTGCGTATCTGCTTCGGCTCAAGGACTTTGAGAAATACCGTATTGGACAAGGCTACCTCCTTCAAAGGCTTCAGGCCAGGCTGGGAGCTGGAGTGACAATCAAGACACAAAGGTTGAGCACGACGATCAACAGTGAGCCTGCATTCAATGCACTGGATGCCGAAGCAACACGGTCAGCGAATTCCGGAATTGCAGGCTTTGACGCAGCATTCGTGGATGTATGCCAGGCATACCGAGCAGATGACCCGAATCATTGGACCGCTCTGCAAAGTGCTCGAGTAGCTCTGGAAGCTGCTCACTGTGAAATCCCGGGAGGAGGTACTCTCAAGAAGAGGTCCCTTGGCGCATTTTAGTGAGCAATGGTGTGATATCTCTGGGCTAATCTGCTCCTTGAGATTGCTCTGTTCTTCGGTACTGGACCATCGAAAGTGCCCTGATAAATAGTAGTCGCATCAATTCAATCCATCATACCATTAAGTGTACCCGAGGTTAGACTCTGGGTTACCTTTCCAGTATTCCAAAAATCACATAGACATTTTGAGTTTCTGGTTGTTTCTGCTGCCTCCCTTCACCATAAGCTTTGAAAGGATGGATGCAAGCGAGAATGTTCGGAGATTCCTCCGATGATCCACCGAGGGCGAAGCTTCTCCTCGACTCTTTCGCGTGAGCATCTTTCCCGGTGTGCTTTTCACATCGAGCCCGCTTAGGATAGCTCAAGACAGAGTGGGAACCGGCACGGGCGAATCCGTCTTTCAACGGTTCAGGGGATAGGGTCCCATGGTGCGGCAAAATAGCACCGTGTTGGACAGGATATGGAGTTTGCTGTTTACGCTAGACAAAGAATGCACTACGCAGTGTTCTTAGTCTATACGGTCATTTCTCGGTCTGACCGAGTATGTGTATTGCCAGCGTAATAGCGGGTAATGAAGCGGAGTCGCAACTGGGTTTGCTGGGCGAATATGCTTAGCTCAAACCCAATGCTTAGTTCATCCTGGGGACGGAAGCGTTTGGGCAGTCGCCGACAGTCAATGCGCAAATTCGAAGTGGGCTGCTCTCTGGCGGACTTCGCCCTCGTCTCTCGTAACGAGAAGTCCAAAATCATGTAACCTCGCAGGAGATAGTTCACTCACTCGGTATAGCCGATCGGGAAAGCACCCATGTTTTCCGCCCTGGTGATCGATAAAGCCACGGAAATGGTCTGGATCCATGGGAACTGGGACAGGCCCTAATCAGTTGGACCAGTCGTGGCAGGTACAGTCCGAGAACAAAGAACAAGCGATCGGAACCAGCCCGGAGTTGCCACCGCGGACGGTGCAGTGCAGTGGTGGGACTAGCGGGGGAAAAGAACTCCTAGTGTGCACAGGAGACAGGGGGCAAGAAACACCGGCAGAAAATCGAGCCCGTGCCAGTGAGCGTCCACGTGCCATTTGATATGCTGATTCAGCATGTGATATCCCTTCAGGGCTGCTTCCAGCGGACAACCTTCCACCAGGATTCTCCATTACGTCTTACAACATCACCGACAGATCGATCAGTATCGATCGGGATCGAATAAGTAGCTCGCACTCATTTTGCGATATGCATTTGCACATTCGAAACCTCGCCGCTCTGGACTTGAGCCACGCGACCGCCAAAGGCTGGGTGAATCGCGTGGAATCTCTGCTGGCGTCCGGCGTCGATCCCAATGCACTTTTCCATGGTGAGGAACCCACCATCGCTGCTCAGGCAGACAACGCAGCTCTAGATGAGAACGCTACGCAGCCGCCGCAGGTTTACTCCGAGCCCACGGAAATGCCTGCTCTTCGGCGGGCTGTTCGAGACTCGGACCCGGACATCCCCAAGAGGGCTGATTTATCAAGAACGGCGCGGCTGATGAAAACGTTACTCGAACATGGCGCTGATCCGTACGCGTTGTTTCGCCAGCCTATCTTTTGCTGTGAGCTCCGTCCTATGTTTCCAGGGGCCGCGCAGGATCCGGAGTATGTCGAGGATGACTCAGACCTCCGAGCTATGACATATGCTCGTCGAGGTATCTTTGAGAAGATACTCAAGAGCGAGTATGAGCGTCTTGGGCTGTTAGGCGTGAACCAAGAGTCCGGCTTGTCACATTACTATACATTTAGTGATGGCTGGGAATCAACTATCGACTATGAGCCTCAATTCCCCCGCACCTATGCTGTCTGCAGCGTATTGCACTCTTTACTTGAAGATGGCGGATTTTCTCAGCCAATCCTTGACTTTCTCGGTAACAGCCTTGATGTGGAGCGGCGAGATCCCCAAGGGCGGACCTTGTTCCTCGCGGCCTGTCGCAGTATGCTTGGCTTAGACGCTGCAGTAGATGGGGCCTATATAAATCTTTTGTCGTCGCAGATATTGCCAAACCCCTATCCGCAGCCGCGGAATCCTTGGCAAGACGTACCACACAAATTCACATCGACATGCACAGGCCCTAGTCTACTCGAGTTCTTCGTCTCCTGCGGCGCAAATCTTCTGGCTGTGGACAAGTACGGTCAAAATGCCCTTCACAACATGCTAGCATTCATCGATCGCGACTACTGTTATACAGTCCCGGTTATCGATCACTCCCTCAAGTACTTGGTCCAGAAGCATCCTGCTTTACTAGACCAGCCCGACAGAGCTGGGGTCTTCCCCATCCACTACGCAATTCGGCGTATGTGTGACTATTCATTTGACGGGCAACCCGAAACAATGTTCCACTTCGAGAAAGCTGTGTATGAACTTCTGGCTGCCAACACAGATCCACTCGTCCGTGATAGCCGCGGCAATACCGTTCTCCATTACCTTGCTGCTGGTCGGCTCGGCGAAGGCGATCGCGTGGGTGATGAGCAGAGACGCCTCCTTGCAGTTTTGCTCCAGCGAGGAGTTGACCCCAGGGTCCGTAACATAAATGGTGTCACGGCATTAGAATTATTCTTCATGACAGGGGATGAACCGAGATTTGAAATTGATCGTGATTACGATCGTTTCTACTCTATTGGCCAAGGAATAGTCGACGCATTCGAGCAATCTAGCTATATCCTGGCAGAAACGAATGCCGCAAACCAAACGCTTCTGCATCTGGTGGCTAAACTTGATTCCGATCGATCGCGCCCATGGTATGATCTTCTCCAATCCAAAGGGCTCGACCCTGAGGCAAAAGACAGCAATGGGGTAACCCCACAAGAAAGCGTGAAACTCAATAGCTGGATGAGGCAATAGGTCTTGTATTGGCAGTTACATAATTGTATGGACAATAGGCGTCAATGGATGCTCTGATTACTCCAGGGCTGTCAAGCCTGATGTATGCCCGTAAGCTGGACGTTTTACTCTCGTCAAGAAATTGACTCAAAATATATTTTTCTACACATCACTCAATGGTCGAGCACTCGCAGACCTACCTACTGTAAACGACAACCTTCCAAGCCTACTGATTAAATAGTGTGTACTCTATCCAACGGGGGTATGCCCATCCTACCAGAGTGGGCACCCTAGCGTTATTTTTCCCATAGTAAAAAAAAGTGGGGGGGGGGTAGGATGGGCATATTTTCAGACCTAGGATGGGCATACCTTTTATGGATCGTACGAGCTCAAAATTTCAAAAGTTTTAATTAAGTCATTAATCTTTACCTATTTTAAATTTTAGAACAAACAGAGAATTTTAAAGGGTAGTTACAGGGTTTAGAAATATAAAGATTTGGGGGAAATTATTTTGATAGGGTTACGACCGGGGCTTATATAATCCATCGTACGATAGTATATTCCCTATAACTAAGTTATATTTTAGTAGTAGGATAATTTATACAAGCATTTTAGTTAATTTAGATTTATTTAGACTTTTAAAGGGTAGTTTCTAAATCTCTAGATCTAGGGGAAATTATTTTAATAGGGTTATAACTAGGCCATTTATAATATATCGTACGATAGCGTATTCCCTATAACTAAGTTAGGGCTATAATTATAGGATAATTTAGAGAAGTATTTTAGTTAATTTAGATTTATTCTAAAGTTTATAAAATCACTAGCTAAGCTATAAAGTATATCTATCCCTCTTATAACTAGACTATTCTTACTCTATCCTATATCTATAAGGGAGAAAAAGTATTAGTCTATATCGTACGGTATATAGGGCGGATTAGGGGGGTAACTAACTACTTAATATTCGTCCGAACCGGCGTTATCGCTATCGTCGGTGATTAGGAGAGGGTTCTGCGCCGAACCTAGGGTAGGTATCGATAGGCTAGCCGAGGGGGCTATACTAGTAGCGCTAGGGGCGGCGGGGAGGCTTAGCCTACCGAGCTAACGGGTAAGGCGGGCCTGATTATTACGCTAGCTATCTCGTACGGAGTACCGGCTTCTATAATCCTGCTACTTATAGTTACCGTAGTATCTACCGAAGTAGCGAGGGAGTCGGACGTAGAAGGGGAAGGGGGTCGGGCTATCCTCGGCGTTATTATAGGTATCGTAAGCCCGTAGGAGCTCGCCGCTACGAGACTAAATAAGTAGCGTATTTAGATAGGAGGGGCGCTACGAAGTAATCTACTAGCTATTAATACGTCTGCGTACGAAGTAGACTTCGAAGCTAGGGAGGGCTAATACCCGACGCTATATAGGATTATAGAGTAGCTAGTCGAGCTACCGGCCGGTAATCGGTAGCGGACGAGAGATACCTTAGGGGTCGCACTTATACTAAAGGACTAGCTAGTAGAGCTAGACGAGCTATTAGGTAGCCGAGTTATTACGGGGCGGAGGGCTAGGGAACGGGTTATCCGTAGGCCGTAGGGAGGAGAGGGGACTAGAGGGATAAGAGAGTCTATCGTATACGTAGTAGAGTTAGTATCTAATCTAGATATAAAGTAAGGCGGAGGTAACTATAGCTATACGCTAGAGATACGCCGTCGGGTAAGCGTATCTCCCTTAGGCTATAGTATCGTCAGCGAGGGGGGAAAATAACGTACGAAGATATCCTAAGATACGAGGGGGGCTTTAAGCGATATAAGTAATAATAAAATAGATAAAATTAATAAAATAGTAGATGAAATTAATAGGGGGGAGGGTAGTTAACGAGAGAGGAAGGTTAGTAAGAAAAAGGAGGAATTTATATCGGAGGGTAGAGGTAAGTCGACGATATAAGCGATAGATAAAGTAAGTCGACGATATAAGCGACGTAGGCTAGAGGCTATATATAGCTATCAGAGGGGATTATAAGCGTCGTACGAAGTAGGCTAGCGGGTAGATTTAGCTAGTAGGATATAGAGATAGCCTCTCCGGCGGGCCTAAGGAGGGAGAGATATAGCTAGGCTAGGAGATAGGCGGTAGCGGCGGATAAGGAGGATATAGATACTAACTACTAGGGTAGGGATCGTACGATATAGCCTACGAGGCGTTTAGTATAGATAGAGCCGCCGAACCTTATAGAGATACGTAAGGAGAATAGCTACACTATAAGCATCCCGGATTAGTAATAACTAGTATACTCTAGATCCCCCTATTCCGGGAGAACTCCTATCGTACGATAGTATCCTAACTTTATAGGAATACGTAAAGAGAATAGCTACCCTATAAGTATCCCGGATTAGTAATAACTAGTATACTCTAGATCCCCCTATTCTAAGAGAACTCCTATTATATAATAGTATCCTTAATCTATAAATTCTACCTAGGAACCTTAGGAGTAGGATTTCTTTATTAGTCTTAGGGAGGTAATTTCTTTATTATATAGATAAAGTAGTGCTCTCCCCGATGTCCCCGTCCCTTCTATAGAGTAATCGTATAGGGTTAGGACTAGGCTCGGTTAGGGCTAGATTAATCTCGAAGGATACCGTACGATATAGGACTATAGTACTATTACTCCCGTCGCGACTAATAGCTATCCGATAGAGCGGCTAACTATCTAGGGGTAAATAAAATAGGATTAAGATACCCGCTATAAATCCTAACTATCTATTACTCTCCTACTATACGGTATACTCCCTTTAAGGCTTTTTTAGATTTCTAACCCGCCCTACCTTTTCTATTTAGGGTTCGTATATTATTATAGCCGACTAGCTCTTTATTCGAGCGGCCTAGTTCCCGGTCCTTCTCTGCTAGCAGTACGAGTAGGGTGTCCGACCCTAGTAGGCGCTCGCCTATCTTACTAATACCCTATATCGGATCCCTATCGCTACCGCTTATACGATCGCCTACGAGGTATAGGAATAGGCCGGGGTAAGCTACGACCCCGACTAGCTCCGGCTACCGGCGTAGATTAACGAGCCTATTAGCGGGCTCCCTATTTACTCGGATAGCGTACTCTACGTACGAGAGGCCGACTATAGGTATATCTACCGTAGCGTACTAACCCTTAAGAACTACTAGCGCTAGGCGTACGGGTGTTACGGACCTTAAGAAGGCGCGGGGACCGCAGTTATTTGAGGAGCAACCGTGAACCAATCGTCCACGGACGCTAAGGAGTAGCGTTATTACGTACGTTTCGGTATACTTAGACATGCCCCGGAAGGCCCTAAGACGTTCCGGAAAGAGAACCAGAAACGGCCTGCAGCTAACCACTACGGATAACACCTACTTACATAATAAGGTAGTTAGTGCAACACAGGAAACGGCTACCATTTTACCCGCACTTAGATTACGTCCTAAGTGCTAGGTACTAGTAAAACTATACGTAACCTCTAGTAGTAGAAGGGTAGATTAGTATATAGGTAGATCGTACCAAGACTCATCTACTACTTAACTATCTACTACTTATACCATTACGAAGGACTAGATATATAAGGACACTCGTTTAGTATTATATATTTAGTTCTTCGCGATTAATTACATATTATTACTTAGTTACTACCTTTAGTACTCTACTTTACAGTTCACTTTTAAGATAACCTAACCTACGAGCAGGGGAGCTTACTTCGTAGTAACACTCAGTGACTGACCTACTTAGCGTATACCTCTAGTACATTCTACAAGATACTTAATAGGACCCGAACCCGACGTAAAGCTAAGTATAGTAACGGTACGGTTACGAGATACTCTTAGAATCCGTAGTTAGAACTAGGTAAGTATTATCTAGACGCTCTAACTCACAGTGACTAGTCGGCACCGCGTAATATATTAATCGCCCTATCTTTAAACCGTAGAGCATAGTTATTATAGTAGGCAATAACAGTACCTTAAGTAACGTTTCGAGCAGATCGAACGCTGCACCTACTAATACGTAACTCATAGAGATAATATCCTAGTTATAAGAATAGCTCGTATAGGTAAGTAATACCCGTATACCGGCTACGATTAAACTACCGAAACCTAAGTTTTACTATAGTAAACGAACTAAGCTTCGTTCTTTCTTAACTTAAATAGATATACAGCTCCGCTTAATTAATTATATAGCAGAAGCTAACAGAGTGATCTACGCTTCTACCTACCTCCGCGGATAGGCATTCGAATAGTTTAAGCCTTACATCCAGGAATTCAACGATAAACCCCTAGGGGATTAGGGAGACGTTACTAAAGAAATCTTCGTATCCTATAAAACTTTCAAGAAAAAATTAGAACAAACCTTTAGTAACATCGATACCGCAAGAATAGCGGAGAGACGACTTAATCGGCTACGATAGACTAGATTAGCTAGCGTATACGCCGCCGAATTCTAATAGATTATTTCGTATCTTAACTTCGACGACGATACCTATATTTAGCTCTTTAAACGAGGACTTAAGGAAGACGTTAAGGACGAACTTATAAGGATTAACCGACCGGAAGAACTTTATAAGATAATTAAACTCGCGGTTAAATTCGATAATTAACTTTATAAACGTAAACTCTAGCGACGGGAGCAGCGATAAAGAGGTAACCGAGGGACGGTACTATACTAATACCACCGCTACGAAGATAGGCGAGGATAATAACGAAACTAGCCGAGGGAGTTATATAGCGACCCCTACGGACTACGACTAATAGAGCTTAACGTAGCGAGACTCCCGACCGAAGAAGAAAAACGGCGGAAGGATAATAACCTATACTTCGAGTGTAGGAAGCTAGGATATCGGGCGCGTAAGTATAATAAATATAATAACGTAAAGCTATAGGCGTATAAGCGAGACAACGGACGTAATAACATAAAACTATAATAGCTAAGGGCTACTTAGGATAGCAAGGTCCGACCCTAATAGCTACGAGTAACTAAGGGGCCTAAAGAATAGGAACTAAGCCTAGAAGAGGCCGAATACGCC